TTGTATCGCTGCTTGTGATGACGACTTGGATTGCTTGATCAGCGGTACACAGATCAGAACGATCGGCTTTTTACTCCAACTGGCATCGCTCTAGTCCGAGAACAATGTTGCTTAGATAGTCATCCATGCGTTACGTCGATGAAAATTTAAATGAGGTATGTGGTTAGAATTAATACTGATCTGATCTCCACAGATTAGTACGGTGCTTTTTACTCTTTGGGTACGCTCATATTATCTGGTGGGAAGGAAATTCGGATTGATCCCACTGTGAAATCATTGATCCTACATGTCTGATACCATGTACCACTCATATCACCTAGTCGATTTCCACGGCGCGATGTTTACCAAGGCCGGTGACGGGCCGAAAAGTAAGGGATGGTCAAATCAACATCCAGCTTCAAATCATGAAAATCGGGGCTTTTGCTCACAGAGATCGTGTTAGGCTTCCTGGATGGGGACTTCGGGATTAACGTAATTGATGGTTAAAGACACTGATAGTGATGTGGTTGATTATCGTAATCCGTGGAGCTCGTATCTCTACTCAATATTCTTGCAATCTTAGTTTTCACACATTCTCTGTTTCCATCTTGGCACTGTTCTCCACATTCCGAATCTTCCATCTCCTCCTCCAACTGAACGGATAGCCAAAATACAAAAATCAAAACTACCACACGCAGGTGCATGTCTAATGGTTGTGTAGACTGTGATTTGGTTTATCAGCGAAGAAAGGGGTCTAACTGAACAAAACACTGTTCGCCTCGTGATACAGTATGTGGGTAAATTAGATATGTGTCGACTGAGATTAGATGCAAATGGGCGTCCTTGTTTACAACACTTAACCTGTGGGATGAAAACATCTGAATCGACTCAGTGACTCATTCCATCCAATGACAAAAGCTTATCTTACAATGCAATTCTTCAGTGGGTTGGATTGGGTACTGTTTTCGTGTCCGAACAATTTTATTGCTGTTTTTATACCTTCTGATCGTTTCCTCCAATGTGGAAAACAATCACCTAACGAGGTTTTTTTGAATCAAAATGATCTTATCGATCCATTTTGTCTGTGTGTGTGTTTGGCCGCAACTGCAGGTGAACATGTACATATATTGTGTGAATCATTCATAGCGATTCACACTGTGCTCATCTGCCGCCGCCGCAGGAACAGGTTCTATTTACTCCTTCTCTCTGGTACGATGTTCGATAAAATTCTCAGAGTAGCCATTTGCCAGTAGAGTTTCCTTGACCAATTTCTCTTCACATCGCATTTGGTCCAACATCCTCTGTCACAAGAGTGGTCTGACGAGTTCCGATTACCGAAACGAAATCCATGTAGACTTACTGTATCGGTCACAAGTTAGATCACGTAGTTGACCTGGCCCTTATTGTTCAATAGCATAGTTGCGCAATCACAGTTCGAAATAGTTTTTTCAGTGGACCAATGCAGATCGCAAGACGCACACACACACACCTCCCCAGGCGCACAAAACAATCGATTCAACTTTTTTCCGCTCGTAGGCACTAACTAAACTTCCACGCTTCCTTCTCCCCTCATCGCGATCCATCCTTTTTAATGTTTTCACTTTCCTTTTTTTCTTGTTTGTTGATTGTATGAATATATAATGCACTTTCAGGAAGGGGTCAGCAGCCATACAAAGGTTGCCTGTTGGTAATGGGATTCGAACTTCAAGCGGTTATTTCGAAGAACTTACCACTCGATCACCACCGCCGCCCATTATTCACCTAGATATCTGCACTGGTCGTGCTCAGTGCTCGTCTTCATACTTAATACTTTGTATAAATCCACATCCCTTTTTGTAGGTATGCGAGAAACGTGTGTCAGTTTGGTTTATTTCTCTCCGTGGACCATATTATCCAGACTTCGAGCTTTTGACTGTCTTCCGTGAGTCCGTTGCTTGCACGTGCTTTCGTATCGGCAGAAAATGTTCAGTGTTTCATCGTTAGCACCCGACTGGTCACTATTGTTCAAATTTTCACAATTCACTTTTGTGTATGTCATCTTAAATCTCGTACCTGAACTTTATCAAACAGGTGAACATCCATGGCGTGGAGGTCCCGATCGAAAATCCTCCGGATTGCTTCACGGATTTCTCTCCCTTGGGATCCCCGCCTCGATTGCGATCGCAGTCAGCACTATTGTGACGTTCACCGTGTGCATTGGGGCGGTGATTTGCTGCTGTAATCGATGTTGCGGTACTCGTCGTTCCTATCCGTCGCGTTACCCACGGATTGTGGCTGGCAGTGCTCGAATGCACGCATTAGACGCTTCATTACCCGCATCAGCCGGTTACCCGGTTCCGCACGCTCATCCACATCACACCTCGGGATCCAGTTCGGCCGTGATTATGAGAGGGGGAGGAGGACCGGGATCGGCAACCCGGGCACAATTTACCTCGTGGCTAAATCGAGGACGTCCGATTCACGGAACCGAATGGCATTCGCAGGTGACTCCTTTCTCTCAACAACAACACCAACAACCTCCTGGCTACATGCCATTCTGTTCCTATAGTGGATCACAACAAAGCTCAGTGGCTCACATGTTCTCTGTCACGGCCGGTTCACACGGTCCCGGCACGGATCAAAAACTGGCATATCAGCACACACAACCGGATTTTGTCATGCGCTCGTCCATGATGAAACCGAGCCGTGATGAGATGTTCCCGGTCGCGCATTCCGCTGATCCGAGTGTCACTTCGAATTGCATGCCCCTACCGTCGTCTATCGGGGCTCCAAGCAGCGATTCCTATTCATCGATTCATGCCAATTCATCCATTCAGGCCAGTTATCCGGTCTATCCGAGACCGCCGGGACCACCACCGGCTTTGATTCATGGTGTCATGGGTAGTCCGGTTACCTATCGTCGAGGTACGTGAAGCGTTTTTCACTACCCTGCTATTATACACGCATATTCTACAGGTTGCATGTGATACTTGCCTGTATAGAACTTGACTGTGTTCCGTATTGTTATCGATGAAGATTCCCTGTTTATGACAGTATTTATTGTGACCAATTTACAGTTTACTTCACATCGGTTTTTCGCTTCACTATCTCCGGCTAACAGGATAAGTGAGGTTCTTGGGTATCGTTGTAATAGTAGTCATTGAACGATTTTTTTCTCACGGCTTCTTTACTCCAGATTGCACCTTTAACCGTCATACATCCTGATCTATTGTTGCTGAATTTGGTCTATCATTCCAGCCTTCCTTTGCATGAATGTCACAGCCAAATCACTCGCGCTTCTACTCGCTCTACTCACTTACAAAGTAGACATGAACTCATCACTCCGCACCAACATTCATGGACTAAACTGCAACATTGATGTGTTGTACCAATTCCTCCATTTCTATCTTCTCATCCGATTTTTGACCGTTACTCAAGTGTTTTCCTCACCTATCCTTGAGCTTCGTCTCATCCACACTTTCCACTCTTTACTCTGGAAAGCTGGTGTTTGCGCCCTCAACCACCAATCAGTCACCGCATTCGGACATCCCAAGCATGGACTTCTCTAATCGTGTATTTTAACTGATGTAACTGAAGCTCCGACTTGCATCAGCGATTTGATTCATTCAGCCTTGCTGGGAATAAGTCCGAACGGGACCGCTACTTTGTGTTGTTAGAATGCAACGGCTGTACGCATATTTTGTGCTCCTATCGCAACCCGAACCGCGAGTTCCATGGTTGAAATCCAAAAAATCCTAACTTCTGACCCACATCGTCTCCGGCTAATGCTTTGAACAAATGGCTTCAGACTGTTCAGATTGTTCTGTTTTCAATGAGCCTGATCACTGTCACAGGCACAAGGCACTGTTCGGGGTTCGCTTTTGTTGGATTCAGTCTTCGGGATTTTGTTTATTCATCACCTGCGGAATATATATATATATATATATATCCATTCATTCAGATGCTGCTTATTACGAAATAGTCCGTAAAGACGCTCAAGTCACGTTTGTTGCAGTTCGTAACATCTAAACCACCTACTGAACATAGAATAATAATTGATTCTTCAATGTATTGGCTCTGAGATAGTTGCTTATCCGAAATTACCCGATGTTGAAATGCGGTTATTGCAACGAAAATACGCTTCCTTGTTATAAATATATGACCGAACTGATAAAAGATTGCCGGATATACACATGTCTGACGAGCGGCAAGAACCGTGAAACCGGCTGTGTGCTCCCGGGGAGATTTTGTGGAGTCATTAAAATACTACTTATCACTTATTAGAACTATCTTCTGTGATGTTCAGAAAAGAGCTATCGGGGCTCATCTGCGGTGTCTGCCTGTCCGAAGTGAAATTGTGAAAGCAAATCTATTGGAGTCTAGTTGTGAGTGACTCCGAGACGGCATTTAGGAATCTTTCAAACATTGTTCTAGCCCTCGGAAAAACCTAGGGTCCAGCAGGTGTCCAACCCACCTCATGAGCCTCCTACTCACACACAATATTGGATCAAATGTGACAGATTAGCTGAGTCGGTGACATAATTTGCAGTACCACTGCTATATCCGCGGTAAAAGTTTCAGAAATCTAGCTGGCTCTCATGGAATTTCGATATTTTTGTGTCTTTTTCAAGTATAAATTGAACAGCTTAGTTAGGTGGCTGTTTTTAGTGGTCTCCTCCTGGTGGCAACAAAGTATCTCATTTCTGTTCAGTTCTTACAACCATTAACCATGGTCTTTCATGCGCCGGCTTCGGTTGCTGTCTTTTGGCTGCCCATTTGGATAAAAGAGCAGAATGAAAATCAGAATGTTGAGAGGAAATTCAAGGGAAAAATAACGAATTTACATAAACTGAAGTTACAAGAATGATGAGTAAATGCATGAGCGCCACTGTTTGCGACACCCAGTCATATTGCTCAGTGTCTCTGGCCATCGGTGACCATTCAGGTGGAGGACTGATGTCAACTGACAGTATTTGCGCGTTTGAAGCGGATAGGGGGATGTCATGTGTCGACGGGGACCAGCTGAACTGTACCTCAATGGGTTCAACCAAACGTTCAAGGCGGCGTTCCTGAGTTTCAATCAGTGTGCCGTCAGACTCCTTAATTCCTTGATCCTATTCTCGTAATTAAACGAAAAAGATTGCGAGTATTACCGATAGCCGTAGCATTTTCCATATCCCTACACTTCCCTACCCATCAGTTCTCGCGGTCATTCCTCAGACTCCTGATGAGCTGGCGTCTAAGGGATTTTCGCGCTTTGTCATATTTTGAATCCGAGGGACAACCGAGGTCGGGGAGATTTGTCGTGTTTGATTTGATCGTGTGCCAGAATCTACCGCTGTTTTGATTGACATTTGGAGTCGTGGAGTCCTGTGATGCGGTCTCACACTCTTAAGGTCTGGATAAAATCTTTGTTTTTACTAGGAACCGTAATTCAGGTTTAACAGTCATTATTCATGCACTTTCATCCGCCGGTTTTNCGCTCTCATGGAGTCAACGGAAGGTTACAATGTTCAAGTAAGTGTCTGGGTGAAAATAGAAAAACAAATCATGAGAACCGAAGTTACAAAGAAATTAGGAAGTTGCATGAGCGTCACTGTTTACGACACTCAGCCATATCACTCATCATCATCATCGATTACGCTGATACCGATGTCCCCATTCAGGAAGCTTAACGCGACCTATGTGAACAAGTCTCCAGGTCAGGATTTTTACACACTCATACCAGGTCTCAGTTCCACCACGGTTGCCTTTTTCCATCCACTACCTACATCGATACTCATCGCGGACCGTGGTAATCTATTTGGTGACATGCGTAGCACATTTCCCAACCAGCGTTTTCTATGGAGGTCGATCACTCGGTATAGTAGGCGACCGAGACCACCTAAGACTCTCCCCCTAACCCTAGCATTGTTTGTCCAGTTACCCCATCAATTTCGTGTAATGCTGCTTCATAGGCATAGACCTTCAAATAGTGGCAGTTTATCTCTGTCCCGTTTTCCTAATGATCTAGTCTCTGCGTCGTGCAGCAGAACTGACTGAACTGCTGCAGCATACACCCAATCCTTCACGGACCCTCGGTGTCGAGTTTAGAGCGGTCCATTGAGTCGATAGCCGCTTTCAAATCGAGAAAAACAGAAATGGTGGATCTACGAAAAGTTTCTGTCCCGAGTGTTCGCGCTCCATAACTGTTCGTATGACAAAGACCTGATATGCATCCAACATGACTAGAAATTGACTTTAATTGACCTCTGATGTTGTACCGTGTACCAAAGTGGTCCGTATTCCTGTTTTCCCTTCCAGATGAAGGGGGATACATCGTTAACGTACCAGAACATTTAAAAGCCTCGGAAACAACAATGTACATCTACCTCGTTCTGTTTCGCGATTAATAACAACACATCCACGGAGGTTCGAAGCAAAAGCTATCGTTTATATGGTGCACTAAATGCTTTATGGGGCACAGGATTTCGGCAGGCAGACCGTACAGTATTCGCGCCACTGACTTCTATTCTGGGCCATATCTCTCAGCGTTTCTAACCAACGACA